ATTTTCATTGATTAAATGTTTTCCTTCTTAGTGCTACTGAAAATGCTTTACTAAGCTTAAAAAAAATCTTCCATCAGGGTTTAATGATGAAAGTAAAATATTTAATTTCCATGAGAATTTGGTAGAACCCATATGATGAACACGAAGTTCAAAATACAGCTTAAGTGATATTTAAAAAAAATAATCACATAAATTAATCAATATTGGCTCAATTTGCTGTTCAGTAAACAACAAAGTATAGCAAAGGGGCTGTGCCACAAGAGAACTATGCCCACTAAATCTGAGTTTCTTTGAATTACACTATCCTAATTCTATTTAAATAATTTTTTAGTTGTTTAAATTCTATTAGAGTAGTTGTGATTAGCTGCATTCATCAGCTGAGTAATTTAAACCTGTTTTTCTTAACTCTTTGCTGTAAACTCAAAATATTGCTTCTTGACCAATGGCAATGGCCTATCCCAGCAATTCTGACTCAAAAATATCCTTGCTGACTGTTAATATTCACCAGGGACACCATAACTTTTTCGATTAAAAGGAGCGTCATTAGATTGTATTTCAGTCAAACCATATGCAAAATTCAAAAAGCTATACTTCTAGATTAAAACCCAGAAGTAGAGGAGGAGGAGAGGGGCAACTCCCCCACCCTGCTTTCTTTCCGTGTGTCAGTGGAGGGCAGGGCTTGCAAGTGCCATGGCAGAAGATGACCAAGCAACAGCGGGTGCTGGAAGCCTCCCCATCACTTATCTCTGGGGACTCTCTCCAATTTCTTTAAAGCCCTAAAAAAAAGGCGTGCGCCAAGTGTGCAAACAGAGGGAGCTTCCCCGCATGGCAGGAAGGGTGAAGAGGCATTATCCTTCCCATGTACTTGCTTGAAAGTATTTTGAGAAACCCATCCTGTTTATGGTCTGCATAATGTATCTTGATACTGAATAGCTTTTTCTTCTTGGGAGGATCTTAAGTTGTTTGTGTCTAATGAAATGCTCCATCCTACCCAAGGACATTACTCTATTGGACTGAAGCCAACAAAAGATGGTCTATAGAGAAGGGATGCAGGCTTGGTAACAACTTGAAAATAAGAAACTAATACTAATGAAGGATATAAATTGCTCATGTAAGAGTTATCCGGATTTAAAAAAAGGTAAGTAATTTAAGGAAAACATATATAACAACATGTGCATTTATAGTGAGTATATCTACATACCTCAGCAACCCGTTAAGTAAGTATTGTATTCACAGTCTAATAAAAATATTCCTTAGAGCAATGGAATATTATGGACTACTTTAGTAATTAATGAAATTAATTAAAGGCACACTTAAAAGATGCAGATTAGGAGAAAGATGCATAAGAAGTTTTTCTCCAGCTATCTGTGATTATTTGAGTGCTGTGCTGTCTCAGCAGGAGGTACGCCAACAGGTTCCCACAGCTTGCTAAGACTGGGAAAGCAGTCTCCCCTGGGAATTGCTGCACAAGCACCTCCTTGTGGTGCTGAACTGTCGGAGCTGACGCTGTAAAAGGGATGCCAGCTGAAAATCTCTTGGGATTTTGCTTCCCCTTCTTTGAGGGAAGCTCCCTGTAGACATACTTGTGGGAATCTATTGAGGAGCAAATCTCCAGCAAGATCTTCAATTTACAGAGTGATTGCAGAACTGTTATCCTAAACCAAATGTTTTTGCTACTCGGACTGTATATCTCTTCAAGCTCTAAATGTCTTTCCTCACAATGCATGATCAGTGATTACTATAATGAGGACCCAATCTGGGAACTATCATGGTAAAAATATATACATATATTTAAATACACAAACACACAGCTGTGAATTCAAGAGATGTGAACTCAGCACATCTCTGTATAAAACTTGGGATGATATCATTACTAATCTACATGACAGAAATACTTAGAGACACGTGACTTGAATGATATTTTAAATATAGTGACCAGTGGTTTCCCAGGCTTTGGTCCACTGGAAACAGAGTAGTAAATCTGCCTGCAGGTACACAGTGATGCTGTTGCTGTGGCCCAAACTGACAGGGAAAGCAAATTAGTGTTCAGTAGTCCTACAATGAAATTAATGAAAGTTATGGACCTTTGCCACAGCTCAAATATTGTCATTCTAGCCTTAACATCTTTACTACGATGCAGCCTAATAGAATTTGGAGAATCCTTCTACATATCCCCACAGGGTATACGACAGGCAGATGACATCCTAAATGTCTTAGTTGCTCAAAATAAAGGATGAACAACTTTTTGACAGTTATGATACACAAATTAGTGAAAATGAGGTTCTAGAAAAACAATCAGAAGAAAAAAAACTATGACTTAGGTAGAATTCAAATATACTTTCTGACAAGTACTTCAGGTAAAAGTCACAGAACAAAAGTTCACTCTTTACAGTGAGTGCTGAATTGCCTGACACTTACTCACTTTTCTCAGAGGAATTTTTCGTTATTACTAGACAGAATAAAAAAAGAGTCTTGTCTTGTTTTGAAAGCTGAAACATTTTATTTGTGAGTACCCAGCTGTAATCCCACAGTGATTATGTGGCCGGTGGAAAGATATTGGCTAGTTCTTTAAAAACGATGGTGATAATCACTTGCCTTCACATTACATACTAGATGATAAACTGAGATGGCAGGTAGATTTTTTTTGTCTGAGGAAAAAGAGAAATGAAAAACTTTTCAGGAAAGCAGGCAAAAATTTAACTATTTGTTTCCCAAATGAAAATGTCTTCCACTTCACATTTATACTTTAATATAGAAGATTTACTGGACTGTAATAAGATGCACTATAACTTCACAGAAGAGATGAATTAATAAGATAGTGATTTCCATGAAAGGTGGCAAGGAGAGGCTTCCAGAACCAAAAAATGGAATAAGATTACTCTCCTGACGTCACTGATCAGCTACACAAATGCTGCTAAAAAAGATGAAGAATATCTGAATAGCAGTATTGCCTAACCCAAGATGAAGCAACCGGAACAAGAGAGTTAGTAAAAGGGCTGAAAGGGAAAGAAAAAAGCCAAAAACCCCAAGAAAAGCAAACCCCGTTTCTTTGATTCAATAATTTTATTCAGTTTCTGTCCATCATATCAATGCCAGTGAGAGAACATTCTTGAAAAAGACTGGTCAACCTGGGCGTGACAGAGCCAAAAGCTTTGAAAGCTAAGAAGTGATTATAAAAAAAACAGAAAGAAGACAGTCAATGCTGCCTCTTTAAAGCTTTTAAATCATCCTTACTTACACAGTCACAAAAGTTAGCTCAAAGCATATTTTTTTCTGGTTTTCACTCCTAATGATTTCTTTCTACAGCAAAATAAAGCCTGTAAAAAGGGCTGTTCATGGCGATTCCATTAATGTCTGTACAAAGATATATTTTTCCCCCACAGTCTGGACTATTATTCCTGTTTAATAAATGAATACAACAAAATTATAGGGCAAAAATCAGTGAAGAAAGTGTTGCAAGTAGTTTATATTATCCCGCAGTCAATTTGCTGGTCAAAGTTAACAACGACCATTAAAAAAACCCAAACTGAAAACAAATCTCCAACTTTGTCCAGAAAAAAAGTCTACCCACTGGAGATAAAACTTAATGAATTAATACTATTAAATTAAAACAACACATAGATGTAAGTTTCCATTTCATCAAGGTAAGGTTATCTTGTATGTCAACAAGTTCTCTGACATGGTTTAAAGTGAAGACTCTGAAATTGAGACATCTGTCTCCATTGGCTCACTGGAGTCATATGAAACACTTGGACAAAGATTAACTAGACATACTGCTATGCCTTTTCCTTATTTCCAGAAATACATGCTATACAGGCATCTATACCATAAATACATCTAATTATTTTTGCACATTCCTGCCTCACATAAGCAATACCTGTGCCTGTATCAATGAAGTTAATGTAACCACAAATTGGAAAGCTGCTCTGTACAAGCACTGATTGGCAAGAATGGAAACTGGTGCACTTAATGATCTCTTTATTAAAATATTGTTCAGATATTAAAAAAACCCCACTGCTCTAAGCTTCAAAATTCAGCATGAACAGCTGATGTGGGCTGAATCCTTAAATAGATATGATTATATTTCAATGTCTTTTGTGATTATGACAATTTTGACAAGATAATATCTCCTCTGAACAGGAATTTTTAAGGTTTAGAGAAATAATGTAAGATTTATTAAATAACCTGTCAAATTACCTATGAACCCTGCTTTGAAAAGAAATCTTATGCTCTCATTAAAATAATTGCAGAAAATCTATGCCTGATATTACAAATAACAAGTACCAGTATCACTGGTATACAAAGGAGAGATCTAAAAGTACAGGAACTTGCAAGATTCAAAAGGTGATAGAATAGCTTTGTTCTCTTCAGATAGTCAACAGAAATTTCTGTGTTAAATAACCTGCACGCTAGGTCAACTTTTGAACCATAGTCTTCAAAATGGAGGGAAAGGAAACAAGTCTGTCGCTATGCTAAAATTAAATAATCTAGATATGTATATTGCAGACTCATTTGTCTTTCCTCACACTTCATTGCCTCTTTTCTCTTATTGCTTTTGTGGAAAAGCAAAAACCAGTTCTACGCAGTGAAAGAGAAGCACAGGTACAAGCAAAAAATCAATGGGAAGTATCTTTAAAAAAAACTTTGCTAGAATTCTCTTTTCAGGAAAAGCATGGGAAAATAAAGAAGTGAAACCTGAGATGATGTCAAGAATGAGAGAAATTATGAATTTTAAACATCATTTCAATTTTAATTTTATATATTCATAGGGAAAGATAGGACTGAGGAAAAACTGGGAAGAAGGGTATGGTGTTTACTTTCCTGTGACGTAAATACAGTAGGCAGGAGAAAGAGGACAGGAACAGCTTCAAAAGCTCTATAAAAGAGTTGCTCCCTCTTAACTCCTGCTGCCATTGATTATGGCCTTACTCTAGTAGCCAGCACTGCCCCTGCAAAATTCAAGTGTCTTCTATCTCTTACACCAGGGAAGTTACCCTCTTTTAACTGAAAACTCCTGCTCTTGGAGAGTAAAGGGCGACGTAATCAACCAACACAAGGTGACAATGCAGGCAAAGCTCCTTATCAAGACACTTCAAGATAAAAAACATAGTATTATCTGACAGGATGTTACAGATACAGTAGGTTTTCCACCTAAGCTACTAGAAAGACACAATGCTGCCGTTATGCCACCACATAAGAGCTTGACAGAACTGAAACGCCTACCCTTAAATAACATCACCAGACTAAGCCCCTGCACGGCTCCCAGGGACTGACATTCTGCATTACAACCACTCCAGCAGAAGTGGTCCCTATTGCTCGGTGAGAATGAGGAGACAACAGTCTATGTGCAAACGTATTTCAAGTACAAAATGGCATTTTATTTACCATGAAATCAAGCACTGTACTTCTGAACAGTTATTTAATGCTACAAGCTTAGTTCTTTCAGGAGGCATTGAGAAAATTGTTCCAATACTTCATAAAGCTGAAGTACTAAAGAAATATATAAAAAACATGAGTTCTTTAAATAGCTGAATGGTTAACTGAAATAGGAGAAATCCAACAATCATTTTGTAAGAGGTTTTAAGTGTAAAAAGCTATCTTCTCCAGAGAATTTAAATGAAATTTAGCTGCACATATTTTGTTTTTAAAATTCTTTGATATTCTTTTTTAATTTAAGAGGAAAAAAACAGCCAAAAAACTACCCAATTATATAACAGAAACACACGAATTTTTAAAATGTTTAGAAGATGACTCACCAGTCTCTTTACAATTCTCAACAAAAGTTTCAGTTGTCGTGCATCTTTTTTGGACTTCAGTACTTCAGCAAAGCTGTCCATGTTTTCTGGAGACATACTCTCCTGACTGTTCCCTCCATACAGCTGAGCCAGCAATGATAAGCACTGTGAAGCACTCACAAATATTTCAGTATCTTCACTGGGAAGCTAAAAATGAACAAACAAAAATCGAATTTTCATTTCAGAAAAATTGCATATCAATGGGGATTTGGAAGAGTATTAGCATTTGCATTGTGCCAGCAAAGAATCATTTCTCGTTGATTGATTCAAAATTCCATTAAACTAAACTTAATAAAGTGGTGAAAATGTAATTAAAATATATGTTCTTAAGCAGCAATATAACAATTGATTCTATCCAACAGCCTATCTATAGTGATATCATAAAAGCACTGAAAATGTTGCTCCCAACTCTGTTATTTTCAGATAGTATATTTCGCTTTAAATAGGAGTAGTAATAGCAGAAAGTATCATTATCACCATGATGTCTAATCTTCTACATAATGCACACCATAAAACTTCATTTAATTATTTCTAAATCAAGTCTATGGCTTCTGGCTGAGGTAGAGTACAGGCTACCTAGCTATTTAATGGATTTTAAGTAGTCACATTAGGACGTATGTTTTGCAGGTTTTAAATATTTTCCTGAATTCCAGCTTTTCGGCACTCCTTTCAAGAGCAGACACTGAAGCAGGCCCTAGCAATGGGATGGAAAAACTCTTTCCTGGGAAGCAAGATTATGGAAAAGACTTGGGGGCATGACTAATAATCATCCTTAAATGAGCTTCTGATAGCATGAAAATAACACATATCTTTCTTGAAAGTACAATCTGGAAATAACAAGTAGAGATATTATATTATGCTTGTATTTGGCAGGACAACAGGAATGCAACGCCTAGTTTTAGCGCAGACAGTTCATGAAAGGTAGTGAAAAAAAATCGAGGTTTCTTGGGGTCAGGCAAGAGTATGACGGATTGGAAAACACAACAGCAAAGGACTGAAGGAATTCAACATCTGTAGCTTATCAAAGGGAGGGTTAAAGGGCACGTTATCGTATGAGAAAAAGCAGGCTGAGAATAGGTTCATTCCTTCACCTGAAAAAAAAAGAAGGGTAAAAGATGATAGCTCAAAACTTTAGATAAAGCAATTCAGATTAGAAAGAAGATAATACTTTGATTTCTTTTTTTATTTTTTTTCTTTAATAAGAGTCATTAACCATGGAAACAACTTTCTTAGAACTGAGACGGATTCTCCATCACAGGCAATTTATATATCACAAAAAATATTTTTTTCTAATAAAGTAACAAACCCCTTTACTATAATGAGGAATTAATTTAGGAAGGTCCTATGCCTTGCGTTATGTAAGATCCTAGACTAAATGGTTCTCGCCTTACAGTCTATGAACTGAACAAAATGTAGCAGTGGTGGTCTTTACCAATTAGGTACGGAAGTGTAAAAACACCTCATCACTCCTACTCAGCTTTTTAAATTCTGAAAGTACTATTTAAATACAAGGAAGCTAGATTAAAGTACAGTTAACAGGCTATCCTTACTGACAATAAAAAGGAAACAATTTATATAACCTGTCAAAACATTTATATAATATGGCCAAACATTTCAATAATGATTACTTATTTAATCTACAGGTATCAACTTCCCAAGTTTTTTCATTTTAAGGAAAACCCATACAGTTACTTTAAAGCAATCTGTGAACATATCATCAGGCACATATTCCTCAAATATTCAAGCAGCAATTCCCCAGGGACCGGCATGCAAATACAATCCTGTTTTCCATTAGCTTCATAGAGGTGGCTGTTTAAAACAGACTGAACGGAGATGTAAGCTCTGAATACATAGCCCCAAGACATATCACATTCTATTTGACCTAATGCTATGCAAGTGACAGGACCACAGCAGCTATTTCTTCCACAGTTTTGCTGTATGGTTTTTCTTCATTCCAATCTAAATGCCACCTATTTGATTGTTTCCTTTCCAACATCCAGAATTATCTAATAACGTCATCAACATAAATAGCAAGGCTAAAAAGCAGGAAAAGCTACAAATAGTAACAACCTTTATAGCTCCATTTACATTTCCAATCCTTATCAAGTTAAAAAAAAAATTGCACTGATCTCACTGGGGACTTTGAGCCAACCTGTATTTCCTTCACTGAAAAGGAAATGCTATTAGATAAAGGAAGGAAAAATTCAACTACCTTAACGTATCTCTCTCACCCCTTTTAAAAGTGGCACTCTAATTTACAGTTTGTTACTCGATCTGTGTAGACAGGTATATCAACCACTCCCTGAAGAAAATCACAGTACAAGAACTCTATTCAATTTTCAAATGTTGGTTGTTGGGTAACCAAAAATAAAAAAAATCAGTGAACGTTTGGACAGATACATCCTTGCCCTGGTATTGCAGTGGAGGCTAGTTCCCTGGGCTGCATAAGCACAAAATCCAATGTGTAATCCGTATCACAACAGCCATACTTGGAAATGAGACTGTTCCCAAGGTCTTTTTCTGAGATACTCACTAACTTTCAGAGGATTGGAAAGGTGTCACTCTCTGCAGAGTATGGCCCCTACAACAACCTTGCATGAAGAAATACATAAAGCACAATAAAGCATCTGGCCTTCAAAGCTCTTCCTGACAGCAAGAGTATATATGACTTTCAAGGAAGGAAAAGAGCAAGTCCAGCCTGTTAGCGTTATTC